GTTTAGGGGGGGTCCGGCGAGGCAGCGCCAACCGCCACGACGACGACCGAAATTCAGTTTCTGTTAGCATTGCAATTTCTGTTCTTTTGCAACTCTGTTTGCATTGCAATTTGTTTTGCATCTGGTCCGGCTGGTCTGGTTGGTCTGGCTTGAGCTTCGTCTCGCAGCCTGAGCTTAGGATGCGGGCGAGAGTGGTTTACGGGAGGTCCGGCGAGGCAGCGCCAACCACTACGACGACCGAAGCGCAGTTTGCGTTTGCATTGCAATTTTCGTGTTGCTTGGCAAGCTGCACTGTATCATTTTTCTGCATTCCCGTATCTTTTTCGCATCTGGTTCTGGTCATGCGGGGCCTTTAAAGGCTGGGGGGGGGGGCACCACTGAGGCGCCAAAGCCCGAAGCCTCCTCAGGGCCTGTCCCAGAGGGCCCACCAGGGCCGCCCCCGTGCAGGGCGCGCGCGGCGCGGCGCGCGCGAGCCCCGGGAGGCAAGGAAAGCTGGCGCGGGCCACTTCGGGCCCCACGCCACCCCAGGAGGGCCCAGGAGCCCCGGGGGTCAGGGGGCGCGATCGGCGCGAAGCGCAACGATTCAGCAGCACCCCAAATCAAACAGGAAAACATTGAGCGCAGGCCTGCTGTCAAACAGTTTTGTCTAACAGAATCTTGGCCGTGCGCAGCGGCTGCCCGATTTTCCCTGGCTGGTCTCGCGAAATACAGAGGGCGGGGCAAACAATCACCCAGAGGCACTCCAAACACTCGCATCGCGGCAAGATTCGGCGTACGCGAGCAGCGCAGACAACTCCAGGCCCACCGCCCCCAGGCCCAGCACCCGCTCCGCGGTCCGAGCAAGTGGCACAGCCATCCCAGCACCATGCCCCGCAGCGGCCGCGGCCACGAGGAAGCGGCTGAGGGCGGCCACCTGCTCGGCGCACGCCTGCTCCTCAGCGGCGCTGCAGTTGCCAGCGCGGCCAGAGCACATGAAGACCAGCGCGCCCTCGAGCGCAAGCTTCGCCTGGACCAGGTCGAGGGCCCCAGGCGCGGCCGCCTCGGCCCTGGCCACCTGCGGGGGCGCGCCGGGAGCGCCGCTGGCCCCGGCGCTGGCCTCGGGCGCCCCTGCCGCTGTGCCGCGCGAGACAGTCTCGGCCTTGAGCGCTCCTGCCACGGTGCCGAACGAGACCGTCCTGGCTTTCAGCTTGTTCCTGGCCGCCTGCTTCGCGGCCAGGGGCTTGGCGGCTCCCGCCCGCGGCGCCTCGAGCTCGTCGCGCTCGAGCCCCCGCTCGGCCAGGCGGCGCTCGAGCGCGGCGGCGGACCGCAAATGGGCCGCGATGTTGGCAGCCTGCGTGGCCCCCCAGCTCCGCGACGCCGGCGCCGCCCCCAGGGGGGAGCGGGCCCGCGCGTCCCTGCCTGGCAGGGCCAGGCCTCCAGGGAGGCCCTCGCCGTCGGAGTTGCTAGCACGCCCCCCCCCCAGGCGCGCGCGCGGCGGGCCCTGGCACGGAGCCCGAGGCCCAGGGCCCAAGAGAGAGGTCGTCGCCGCGCTCCTCAAACGACGGCTCGGCGGCGACGAGGCCCACGGAGCCGACGGAGCACGTGACCTCCACGAAGGCCTGCGGGTCCACGATCGCCAGCTCGTTGCGCGCGCCGTCGCCCATGGCCTCGAACTCGCCCTCGTCCTCCGAGGCCTCAGCCGCCAGCGCGCCCATGGCGACCGCCTCGTCGGCGACGTCGCCCTGCTGGACGTCGGCGCCAACCTCTTCGGGATAGGACTGCTTCCTGAACTCGGGAGGCTCTGCCTGCATGCAAATGTCCCTCGCCGCGGCGTCGACGGAACCGACCGCGACGCGCTTGAGCTCCCATGCCAGGGACTTGAGGTCCATGACCTCCTGCGCCAGCGAGTCCGCCAGCGCCCGCGCCTGCGCCTGCGCAGTTCCGTATGCTGCCAGTTCGACGCCTCGGAAACAGCGCATTCCGAGCCGTCTTGGAACAACGCGAACAGCTCGGGGATCTCCTGCCCCTCCGAGCCACCCGAATCCGATGCGCAAGCCGAGCGCGCCTGCACCTGGCCAGCCTCGGTGCTCTGCGCGCCCCAGCGCTCCGCCAGCTTGCCATCGGGCCACCGCCGAACACGCTGAACGACATCTTCGGCAAGGCCTGGATGCCGAAGGAAGGCGCCAGCGCGGTCGAGGGCACGGGCATCACGATCGATGTGGGGCGGGGCTCTATGCCCGCTGTCTCGGTGGGCCGCCAGACCCTTGGCCAGGGTGCTGCCACCTACCAGCGCGATGAGCTCGCCCGCCGCCCCCTTGACCTGCTGGGCACACTGGCCGAGGTGGGCGCGCGACACGGCGCCAACGCCCTCGGGCACGCCCGCGGGAGCCTGCAACCTGAGCATGAGGTCGGCGGCGTCCGCGGTAGACCCCACGTAACCCACAGCCGAGCCATGCCGAACGGCGATGCCGCACCGCCGAACGCGGGGCATCGGAAGAAGGGCCCGCGCCTGCGCGAGGGGGGCCAGCCGCAGCCTTGAGCCAAAATGGCAACGGATTTCTTTATGTTCGCATCTGGTCTGGCTGGTCTGGTTGGTCTGGTTTGAGCTTCGTCTTGCAGCCTAAGCTTCGGATCTGACTGAGAGTGGTCTAGGGGAGGTCCGGCGAAGCAGCGCCAACCACCACGACGACCGAACTGCACTGTTTCTTGTGCGTTGCAATTGTTTTTGGATTCCGGTGTTTTCTTGCATCTGGTCTGGCTGGTCTGATTTGACCTTTGTCTTGCAGCCTTAGCTCAGGATCCGGGCAAGGCTGGTTTAGGGGAAATCTGGCGAGGCAGCGCCAACCACCACGACGATGACCAACATGCACTTCGTGTTGCATTGCAATGTTTTTTGCTTTGCATTTTTTGCATTGCAATTTGTTTTGCATCTGGTCCGGCTGGTCTGCTTAGTCTGGTTTGCGCTTCGTCTTGCAGCCTAAGCTTAGGATCCAGTTGAGAGTGGTCTAGGGGAGGTCCGGCGAGGCAGCGCCGACCACCACGACGACGACCAACATTCAATTTAATTTGCATTGCAAGTTTGTTTCATTTGCAGTTTTGTTTGCATTGCAACTTTTTGGGCATCTTGTCCGGCTGGTCTGGATTGAGCTCCGTCTGCCAGCCTAATAAGCTTCTGATCCTGCCGAGTGGTCCAGGGGAGGTCTGGCGAGGCAGCACCAACCACCGCGACGCTGACCGAAATGCAGTTGACCCTGGTCTGGTTGGCTGGTCTGGTTGGTCTGGTTGGTCTGGTTTGAGCTTCGTCTTGCAGACTTGCTTAAGATCCGAGCGAGAGTGGTTCAGGGGGAGGTCCGGCGAGGCAGCGCCAACCACCACGACGATCGACATGCATGTTGTTGCATTGCTTTTTGTTAGTTTTGTAGTTCCTTTTGTTATGCAACGTTGTCTGGCCTGTTTGGCTGGTCTGGTTCGAGTTTCGTCTTGCAGCCTTAGCTTAAGAATGGTCTGGTTCGTCTGGTCTCATTCATGGGTCTGGTCTGGTTGGTCTGGTCTGTTCTAGTTGGTCCGGCTACTCTTGCTCAGGAGCGAACTGGAATACAGGACGGCGGGCACAGCGGTCCTCGGGGGCGAGCTGAAATCGAGGACGTCGGACACAGCCGGCCTCGGGGGCGAACTGAAATACAGGACGGCGGACACAGGGGGGCTCAGGGGCGAACTGAAATACGGGACGGCGGCCTCAGGGAGCCACAGGGGCGAACTGTAATACAGGACGGCGGCCCACGGGAGCTTCAGGGGCGAACTGAAATACAGGACGGATAGCAATTTCCAGTCCGTTGGCGGCACCGGAATTAAGGCAGATAAAACATCGAGAGAACATAATGTACTGTTAATTCTGGTGTCCTCAGGTTGTTAAGCCGGTGCGGCGCAGCGTATACCGTGTCGCCACAGGCACACAATGAAGTCATACATGTATACCTCATCAACATGTCATTCCATCATTCTACTGCGTGGCTCAATACTACCTTCGAGCGACTGCTCCAAGGTGGTCTGGCTGGTCTGGCTGGTCTGGCTGGTGTAACTGACTGTCAGCCTCGTTCTCCAGCGGAAGTTGAATACCTGCCTCGTCTGTTTGGTCTGGTTGGTCTGGCTGCTCCTGTTGACTGCTGCCGTGTTCTCCAGCGGAAGTTGAATACCTGCCTCGTGTGGTTGGTCTGGATGGTCTTGCTGGGCTGGCTGGGCTGACTGTCTAGTTGGTCTGGTGAATATGGTTCGCCTGTTGGTCTGGTTACTCTGGCTGGTCTGGCTGCTCTTGTAGACTGCTGCTTCGTTCTCCAGCGAAAATGAATTCCTGCCTCGCCTCGTTGGTCTGGCTGGTCTGGCTGGGCTGGCTGGTCTGACTGGTCTGAGGCGTCTAGTTGGTCTGGTGAGTCTGGCTCGCCTGTCTGGTCTCGTGCGCATGCTTGGTGTCGTTGACCTGGTTGGTCTGGTTGGTCTGGCTGCTCGCTGGTTTGTGTTGGAGCCACGATGGCCAAACTTGGGCATCTTTAGTCCGACCTTTTTGGCCACTGCAACGATCTTGAACGTAACCGAGATAAGCCACGGACTGGCCGTCTGGCTGGTCTGTTTGGTCGTGGCCGTCGTCCTTGTCCTCGCCCTCGACTTTCTCGTCGTCGTCGTCATCGTCCTGCCCCTTGCGTCGCCGCAGCCGGGGCTGGGACCGAAAACGCTGCTGCGTCAAGTCCGCCTGCGGGAGGTGGGGGGCGAGGGAACATCAGCAGCCATATCAGTTCTTATGCGCCAGAGCAAAGTAGGGCGCTGGGGCATAAGAACTTTTCGCCTCGAGCGGCTTAGAATAATCGTTTTTGAAAAATGAAAAATTCAATCCACACAGCAGAGCCCCACTACAGCAACGCACCAAAGGAATGTGTAAGACATTCGGCCCCCTCAGTTTGTTGAGTTATGGGGATGGGAGAGGAAGAGAAGGGAGGATGAAGTGAGGAAGTGGACGAAGATGAGGCCCATTTGTTCAGCGCGAAGACCGCCCGCACGGTCGTACTGTAGTCAAGGTTGGTTGGATGTTGGAACACTGCAGGACCAAATAAAGCCCGGCTGGAATGAGGAACGCCCCCTGCACGGAAGTGCGCATGCATCAAAAGGGCAAGATGCCGGTGTGCGAGCGCCCCCCGAATGGCTAGGGAGGACACATGTGCACCGCTGCAGCAGGGAGGAAACGACAGAGAGTGAGAGAGAGAGAGACCCAGAGATCCGATGTCTTTTTGTACATCTTAGATAGAATGCCCCAAACAGTGTTTGGACTTAGGGATTCTTGCTTGTCCCCTTAGCGGCTTTGGGTGAAGGGGCCTAGGGACATACAATTAAATACACATAAATCCCCTAAATCTCCTTATTTTCCCATATCTTTTGGATGGTCGTCTTCCCCCCACTTCCCATATCTTCCTATATAGTGTGGGGCATCGACGATTCAGTGTGTCTGTGTGTGTGTGTGTTCTTGTCCATCCAGATTGGGACGGTTTTCGGGGGGGCCACAAGGAGGGCGTCCAAGAGGGGGGGGGTGCGCAAATCATGGCCGGCGGCACGTGCGCGGCCCAGGGGCGGGGCCAGGGACGCAATGGAATAAGACGAGGCGCCATGACACCTGGGGGAATACCAAGGCCAACGCCATGATATCCCCCCTAGTCTTGCGGATGCCACGACAGTGGACACCCTAACAGTCCTATCATTGAGTTTAACATGTGTTTAACATGCCAGGGAAATGTTCGAATCATGTTTTAAGCCTGTTTATTTAGTATGTTTCAAACATGTTTACCACATGTCTTCGACATCTGGAAATTGTTTGGCAGCATGCTTCCTCTCCACTGATCGTCCTCCGCGACCCTGGTCCTCGCCCCCCTCTCCGCCGCCCCGAGGCCTGGTGGGAGGTGACTTCTGGAGGCCCTCGGCCGGGCCCCACCCCGCCGACCACCTCGGCGATGCCAATGGCTGGGCCCACCCCCAGGGCGAGACGGCGGCGGCTCACCACCGATCCCCCGGAGCCCTCCCAAGAAGAACAATAATAATGATAATGATAAGAGGAAGAAAGGGAAGAAGAAGAACCGGCATAGACACCAACTTTCGACGCCCCCCTGCGGATTTGTTCTGCATCTGCGCGGGGATTCCATAACGTGGGGAGCCTGAGGCCCACGGAGGAACTGGCAGAGACCAGAGCACCCTTCAGAAACCAGAGCTGGCAGATGGAATATGTTGATGCGGCAAGGGGAAAAAAATTGGATCTGCGTGGGGCCCCCATCCATGGCGAGGGCGCCAGGGGCGGCGCCGGAGGCGCCGCCAGCGGCGCCCCGCGCAGATCCAAGAAATCCGCGCGGAGCGCCGAACGTTTTTCGTTATATTGCTTATGTTCGTCCATTAGTGAACCTCCATTTACTGAAAACGGCCTAGGACCGAAACCGACGGACCTGGACCCGCAAAAATGACGGCCGCGACGCCCTCTCGCGAACCGAAAACGGCCGATTCGCTAATTGACGCGTCAGGGTAGGAGGTCTATCAACCTCAGATTTTTCTTCTTCGAGTCCTGGCGCGCCAACAGGAGCTGCGTCCCCGCCGTGGCGAAGAGGGGCCACGCCTCCTCGCCTCTTTTCGCTTCCGAGGGGCTGTTGGGGCCTCAAAGATGGCCCCAAGACCCAAGAAGGCCCCAAAAGGGCACCAGCAGCGGCCAAGAGCGCCCCAAGAGCGCCCCCAGACGCCAGGTTTGAGCCTCCGATGGGGGGGGCTGAATTGAGGACACCCCCCTGTTGAGCCATGGGGCCAAGAGGTATCCCAAACCCCTCCAAGGAGCCCCACGAATGTCCAAAGACCCCCAAAATCATCCCCAAGAGGGCCCAAAGAGTGGCCCAAACGGCCCCACAGGGGACCCTCAGAGAGCCCATAAGCCCTAAACTCATCATGGCCTCCGACAGCCTCTAGCTGAGCATGGCTCAAGATAGCCTCCAAGAGGCCTCAAGAACGACTCCAATCTTGTCTGGGTAGACTGGTGAGGATACGCGAAACGTTAAGAATTGTACAACAACAAACTGATAACCCGCAAGAGACAGATGGGAACCAGAGGAGCGAAGAGAAATACGGGAGGAGGACAAGACGGAGGAAAAATGATTCGTCCTTGCGTGGCTACCGTTAGGCTGAGCGCCACGCAAAGTCGCTGCCGTCCTCTCGCTGAGACTGCGAGAGAAATGTATTCAGCAGGCGTCGAGAGGTCAAGCCGTGCATAGTGTCTACGTACGCGAAAAATCAGTGTGCCTTCGCATTGGGCGAATTACGCGCAATCGCCAGCTCGAGTGGAAAATTTGGCCGATGGAGGGCAGGCGCTGGGGCATCCAGCACATCGATGGGCTCTCAGAGTGGTATGGAGCGCAAGCACCCTCTTTCGGGGCTCGATGAAACTTCCTACGCGCCTTAATTCACGGTCAGGGTGACCCTGGAGAGACAGGTGGGATTAAGAGGGGTGCGCAGACAGCATACGTGTTGGATCATTGTTACCCCATGCTGCCCTAGAATATCCCTGCAAGAGGCCCCGACAGGTCACAGGGTATACAATCCTGCACGTCGAGCGCTGCGCTGCTGCACCACCCAGATGTCGGAGAAGGTCAGCCGCACCGACGTGCGCCGATCGTTCTGGTCCTCGCCCGCGGGCAAATCGACTGTTATTCTGGCTGCAAACGCGATCCTGGCCTGGACGGGCCAGAGCGAAGGGGGGCGGAAATGGATCCGACCCTCGAAGCATCGCGCGTCGGGGCTCTGGGTGAAGTCTGGGCTGCCGAGGGCCCGCAACTCCTGGAACGAGGACTGCATCCACATGATGAAGGGCTCCCTCATGTTGGGCTTGACCCACCCCAGCAATTCTCGGGTCGGGCGAAAGGGGGGGATAGCAAAGGGGGGGTTTGAGAATCAGCTCGCGTAGCTGATTTTCCCGGCGCCTCCCGGCGCCGGAGGCGGCTATGTATCGAGGAATGGGCCCCTCGGTGAGGCCGAAACCAGCTGCATGCAGCAAATTTCGTAACCCCCCCTTTCCCAATCCCCCCCTTTCGCCCGGCCCGAAATTCTCGAGCCCCCTGGAAGAGACGACCGGTTCGCGAGCCGCTGCCGCAGAACAGCTCGAAGCCCGGGGTGAAGCTGAGGATCGACCAGCTGTCAGAGAGCACGTCGATGCAGACAGCGATCTCGCCATCCATCCCAGAGAGGCTATGGGGTGTCCCCCTGGAGGACGGCAACGACGAGGATAACTTAGACCACGCGCAACTCGGCGGCCCGCAAGGGCCCGCATTCGTGGGGCTCGGATTCCAGGGGTGGGCCACATCGCCGGCCGTCTGGGCGCCCTCTGTCATGCACCCCTTGAGCCCGCCGGTGTTCGACGGCGAGCCGACGTTCTTTATGACGTCGGCGTACTCGCGCACCCCTATGAGGTGGGAGTCGGCCTTCAAGTAGCTAGTAACTGGGACGTGGAAGACCTCCATCCTGATGACGTTGCTGATGCTGTCGCGCACGCGCGTGTGGAACACGTTCGCCATGCACTCGTCGCTGGAGGAGCGGATGCTTTGGGTGAACTGCTGCTGGTCCTCCTCCAGTATGAACTGAAGCATGCTCGAACCCCGCAGAGACCGATCGCACCCGTGCTGCAGGAGGCTTGCGAGACGGGGCGTCTCGTCCATGATCTGCAGCCGCCCGTCCAGCTCTACGGTGGCGTCGCAGATGATATTCAAGAGGCTCCTCGAGGCCTGGCTCTCGCTCTGCGAGATTGACGCCTGAATCTCGTGGATGATCCGCAGCATGGAGAAGTGGCGCCACACCACAGAGCCAAAAACTATGGCGCTGTCCGCGAAGCACTCCGTGATGACGAATGTGCGAAAGTTCTGGGAGCCGCCGTCCTCCGTGCAGAGGGCCTCCGTGCGCGCGAAGCCCGTGCACACGCACAGGAAGTGGAGCGCCGTCAGACACACCACCACTGCCGGTCTTATGCCCGTCAGGCCCCAGGCACCCCGTATGAACATGCTGCAGGCTGCTATGGCCAGGAAGGCTACCTGTCCAGAGGGGCCCACGCTCACGAAGGCTGTATTGCAGATTGAGGAGACGACGTACACGACATTCACCGTCGAATGATGCTGCCAGCGCCTCAGTGCGAGTTGGCTGCTAATGCAAGCAAAGGTCAACACTACCCACAGCACGTCCTGCCAGACGGTCATCCACCGAGGAGTTCGAAGTACAGTGTTGACGACCATCATGGTCAGATTCACGCAGCACCACATGGAGAAAAAGAAATTGATGCAACAGGCATGATGTAGACCTTCAGTTCTGAATTTTTTGGTCACCTCCTCCTGCATGGCAATATCTGAACATTTAAGCCTGCTGGTGATGGCCTTCCAGAACCGCCTGGCCAGGAACCTGTAGACGACCGTGTGGAACACGAAAGCCGCGGACGCGACCAGGCCCAGCAACGAGCTGATGAAGACGGCGTTCTGCCCTGCGGTGCCTATGGAATACGTTGAAACATGCGGGAGTAAACCCATCGATCCCTCCGAGAGGAACGTCTTCAGACCCACCCTTCAGACCCACCAGGCAATCGGGGGACTGGACCTCGGTGCAAAACTGCCCCGGCAGCACGGCCTGCGCCAACATGGCCGAGGACGCTCACGGCGACGAAGACAGAAAAGATCCGGACATTCGCTGTCGTGAATATGAGGCCATGTCGCAACAACGCAAAAACAACACCAATGAAACTTAGCGAGAACCAACCGTCCCGGCATTCTTATAGCCCTCCCACGAAAGCTTCTTGGAGCCCCAAACTGTTCAAATAACAAGAACCACGTTCTTAGAGCATAGAGCCGGCGTGTTAGAACAAAACAGCCCCAGTCAGAAATGATCCAAGAACATGTCGTGCAAACCCCGAAAGATTATCATAGCATTCTTTGGTGGGCCTATAGGCAAGTCAAAACGACTCGCCACTGCTTGAGAACCCCCCACACACGACCAAATTTTATGGGTCGTGTTCTTCCCAGATGCCCCGTTAGGTATCAGGAACTCTTGGATGAGCTGAGAGGGAAATGATGATGATGATGATGATGATGATGATGATGATGATAATGATCACGAATCCCCGGGAGAGATCCGTCCAGATTACGGCTCGTGGCGCGCGCGGCGCGCGGCACAGATAGCAGTATGCAAAACGGCGTGCGGACGCCCGCCCCTCAGGACGTGATCCTTCATGGCGTGGAACACCTTGTGGGCAGCTGCCACCCGGACGAGGCCGGTAGGCGAGTCTAGCCCCAGCCGGTCGCGTGTCGAAGACGGGCTCGAGCCAGGCCAGTTTTCGAAGAGTTTCCAGAACCCGTCGCACTCGAAGTAGTGCTTCTGGTCCGCGTCGGGGAAGCCACAGATGTAACAGGCGTGCCGAGTAGGCTCGTGCATGCGGCGGGTCGTAAACCACCCATGCGCCCATGTTCGTAGCACCAGCGTGCGAAGAGGACGACGAAGAGAGCGAAGGCGTGCAACAGCAGCATCAGCGTCGACCAGGGACAAGGTGTCGTCAGCTGTGAAGCTCCGCCACCGCTGCAGTATCAGCGAGGGCCAATCTGGATCCCACCACTCCTTCAGGACCGCGGCCTGCACCGCGCGCTGCAAGCGCTGGCGCGGCAAGCGGCCGCGAAGCCAATCCCGACGAACTCCAGCAAGATGGCCGCGACGGTGCCACGATGGATGCATAGCCGCCGCACGCTCCAGGTTCAAGGCGAGCAGCGGAGATTTCCACCAGGCCTGCGTGAGGGTGCCCGTCGCGAGTGTGACCCCCAAGTGTTCCTCCGCCAACCTCCGCGTAGTGGTTATGATGTCCGGCCACACGGAGCAAGTGTGAAGAGCAAATCGGCTCATGATAGAAAGTCCGTAACCTTCGATCGGCGTGAGGCGCGGAAATCCCAAGAGGTCAATCTGGTAGCCAGCCCAAGCAGGTATGGCTTCACGTGGAAACCGGAATAACTTGGCAACGACGGAGTCCTGGCGGTTCACCAACGAAGCTGGCGGGTCGACAAACTGGAGCTTGTAGCTCAAGACGGTCTGGATGCGAACGTTGTACTCCAGGATGTTTTGCGTCATCGACTCGTGGGCCAGATGGTGATGATAATGATGGTGATGATGATGATGAGGATGAGGAGGAGGAGGAGGAGGAGGAGGATTGACGAGCAGAAACTCCTTCTTGAAGACCTGACGTGGACAGCGCCCCCAATGGCCCCCTGCTGCCTGCACCTTTCTTCTGGCGCCCCCCAACGCCAGGTTTTGCACCCGCGAGGTCTACAGCAGGAGGGGAGGGCAGTGGCTCAGTCTCGCCCTCGCCCTCCTCGCCTGCTTCCTGCCCTCCTCGCCCCTATCCCAGGACACGCGTAACATCGGGCTTGCGTAGGACAACACCCTGCCAGCGAGGCGACCTCCCGCGCGCCGCCTGCGGTCACATGGGCGTCAGGTCCAAGAGGGCACAAGTGCATCTGGTTTCCATCCAGGATTTGTGGGTGGGGCGTGACCATTTCCTTCTCTGGGGGGGGGGCGTATCACGCGAGCCGCCCTTGGCTTCCTCAAGCGATGCTAAGGTTTTGTTTCGTGTATGCACGTGTCGAGGTCGATGCTGCCTCCTTCTTGAGAGGTCCCGAATGCCGCCGAACCAGAGAGAGAGAGAGAGAGAGACCAGAGTAGCATCAAGAGAGAGAGAGAGAGAGGAAGCTCCCATCTGAGAAACTCAGCCATCGAGGGGCCTGGCGGAGAGGCTCTCCACTGAATGGGAAGGCGGAGGAGCAGGAGGACAATGAGGGGGAAGCACATCGACGTAATAGCAAAAGCACGGACAGAAGAATCCGCCGACCCCTTGGGGTCATCGGCAAGTGAGATGCTTCCCCTTCCCCAAACCCCCCCCGGGGCCCAGTCCCGTCGGTTTGGACGGGGGGAAAGGGGTCCGGTCGGCCCCAGCTGCTCACGACGGGCCATGAGGGCCCCAAGAGGCCCACAAGATGGTCCAAGAGGGCCCCGAGTCGCCGATGGATCGTTCCAAGACGAATGGCCCCCAGACAGCCCAAGAGGCCCCCGAGACGCACCAAGAGGCCCCCAAGAGGCGTCCTCGTCCCATCCCCCTAGGGAAACGTATGATTGTGGCACATTCGGCTCTCGGGCTTTCACAACGTCCAAGACGGCCCAAGAGGCCTCCAAGATCGCCCGAAGACGGCCCAGGAAGCCCCCAAGAAGGCTCCAAGACGGCCCAAGAGGGCCCCAGTACGGCCCAAGAGGCCCCCAAGACGGCTCCAGGAGGGGGCACAGGCGGGGGACCCGAACGAAATTTCGCGCCCTCGGCCCCAAGAAGCCTACAGGAGGCCCCAAGAGACCCCCAAGACGGCTCCAAGAGCCCCACCATAAACCCAAAAGAAGCCCCAAGAGGCCCCCCAAAACGGCCCCCAAAGACCTCAAACGTGCTGCCAGGAGGCCTCCGAGAGACCTACCAGGAGCCCCCAAAGGGGTCGGCGGCGCGGCGCAAGCCCAAGAAACTTACATTTCCGGGGTGCGCGGCTGAATGTTATTGACGTGATGAGAGATGAGACCCACGATTGACGTGAATGGAAGATCTCCGTGGAGCCCCGCGATGAGACGCGTTGTTGTGGTGATTGATGTTGTCGCCGTCGCTCCGCGACCCACGCGCAACCTATCCCATGGCCCACCCCCGACCCGCTCAGCGACCCACCGTCGCCCGAGCCACCTCACTCTCATCCTTAATCGGGGGAGGGTGGGGCGCCGCGAAACCAACCTGCATGATGCACAAGGGGCGCCGCTGTTGCCCCCTGTCTCCGAAGTAGAGTGTTTGTTGTCATCAGGTCAGCGCCCCTGCCTCATCCACCCGTTATCTTGCTGGCCATTCCTTCCTCGGCATGTTCAGAACCGTTCGTATTCCGCCACTCATGATTACCCCGACTCGATCACACTCGAACTCGTGCCGTCAAGATCACTCACGCCCAGACACGATCACACTGAGATCCGCTGATCCGCCACTGCCCCGCGCGTCACTCAGTGGAGTGCGCCCAAATCCTTCCAGACTCCCCCGCCCTCAACCCCGAAGATCCTTCAAAGGGGCCCACAGCCGCGACTTCCAGGCGCGCCTGGGCGCTTCCCGCCGCTCCCGGGCGCCTCGTGGACTTCACAGCCCGGACCTCTTCCGGAGCAGCGAGGGCCCCGAGACGGCCCAAGAGGGCCCCAAGAGGCCCCCGAGACGGTCCAGGAGCTCCTCGCGGAGATCGCTCTAAGTCGCCCACGGTGGCCTCCAAACTCAAGAGACCCCCGTAGGAGTGCCACGAGAAGCCCGATTCATTGGTTTGGTGAGGTGGTTGCAAGGATTCCGGCGCCCTAGCCTTTTCGGACTTCTGACGCTCTGACACGGCCCAAGAGGCCTCGACGATCGCCCCAAAAGGCCCCCAAGAGGGCCCCCAAATGGCCCAAGAGAGCCGCAAGACGGCCCAAAGAGGCCCCCGAGAGGGGCCCCAGAGAAGCCCCAGAGGAGGAACACGAACCGACGGTGCGACCGCCCCGCCCGAAGACGACCCCTGAGGCCGCCAGCAGGCCCCCCAGAAGCCTCCCCCACCAGGAAGCCCCCCAGAAGCCCCCACCACGCAGAAGCCCCCTCCCCAGAAGCTCCCCAAAGCCCTCCCCCCCAGAAGCTCCAGAGGCCCCCAAGCTGTCCGAACCAGGTTCCAGGAGACCCCCAGGCAGCCCCAACGACACCCCGAACAGCCCCCAAGAGGCTCACGACAGGCCTCCCAAGAGATGCCCTACAGGCATCCAAGAGATCTCTGACATACAACCTAGGCGCTGTGGCGAAATGGGCCGAAGGCCACTTGATGCGCCGCCCCCTGTGGTCTTGCCACAAGGGTGCCTGGCGTGCTGATACCTACCGTTTTTTCTGAAAAAAACAACAACAACAAAAACTCCCCCATGGGGCTTCGGCCCGCCCCGCTGGCCACCCAGAAGGCTCCGCACGGGGTGGCTCCCACCGTTCCTCCTGCTCCAGCTTGCTCCAAGACGGCCTCCAAGACGGACAAGATGGCCCAAGATGGTCCCCAAGACGGCTAAGATGGTCTCCGAGTTCGCCCAAGATGGTTCAAGATGGCCGCCAAGACGGTCCGAGAGGGTCGCAGATGCTTCCAAGTCCGCCCAACAAGCCTCCAAGATGGCCCACGACGGCCCAATAGGCCCACAGGACGCCTCCAAGACGTCTTCCAGGAGAGCTCGAAGAGGCCAACATCATTAATTGTCCCTCGGTTTGTTGACGGATGTTAGCATTTGTTTCTTCTCGGCCTTCCGACGCCCCAAAGATGCCCCAAAGGCCACCAAGATGGCCCCAGAACGACCTAAGAGGCCCCCAAGACGGCCCCAAGAGGGTCCCAAGACGGCCCAAGAGGCCTCCAAAACGCCCAAGATTGTCTCCAAGACAGCCCTAGAGTACCCCAAGAAGGCCCCAAGTTGGCCCAGAGAGGCTCCCCATACGGCTTTCGACGGCGTCAAACGGGGCAGGAGGCCACCAAGACGGCCCACCCAAGAGGCCCCCAAGAGGTCCCCAAGACGGCCCAAGAGGGCTCCAAGATGGCCCCAGAATGACACAAGAGACCCCCAAGACGGCCCCAAGGAGCCCTAAGACGGCCCAAGAGGCCTCCAGGAAGCTCAAAGTGGCCTCCAA